AACATCATAGCAGATATAGACTGACCCGTGAAAACGCTCAAAATCTGAGATTTTAGTTTTTGAAGATCGCCAAAACTTAAAACGGCCGTATCTCCGTTACTAATAAAGATAGAGCGAAATAAGGCTTGATTTGAAATCATTAATATTAAATTTCTTTTTTTTTTTTTTTTCATTCAGGCTCTTTCAACTACACAAAAAGATATTAAATCAGAGTATTTAAGAGTCTAGGCAGTCAGGAACATCATAGCAGATATAGACTGACCCGTGAAAACGCTCAAAATCTGAGATTTTAGTTTTTGAAGATCGCTAAAAGCTTAAAATGGCCGTATCTCCGTTAATAATGAAGATAGAGCAAATTAAGGCTTAATTTAAGATCATTAAAATTGAATTTTTTTTTTTTTACTCTTTATTTAGGCCGTTAAAACTACTCAAAAATAATAAAATCGTAGAAAACAAAATAGCAGGTAGTCTAGAACATCATAGCAAATGGACCTAAACCTGTAAAAACACTTCAAAACTAGGATTCTGGTTTTTAAAAATGGCCAAAACTTAAAACAGCCGTATTTCCGTAATTATTGACGATAGAGCGAAATAAGATTTACTTTAGGATCATCGAAATTAAAACAATTTTTTTTTTTTTTTTTGGATTCAGGCACTTGCAACTACACAAAGAGATATTCAATCAAAGTATTTGAAAGTCTAGGCAGTCCAAAACATCATAGCAGATATACACTAACCCGTGATAACGCTCAAGATCTGAAATTCTGGTTTTTAAAAATGGCGAAAACTCAACACAGCCGTATCTCCGTAAATAATAGAGATAGAGCAAAATAAGCCTTAATTCAGGATCATTAAAATTAATTTTTTTTTTTTTTTTCTTCAACTAGGCCGTTGAAACTACTCAAAAATAATAAAATCGTAGTAAACACAATACCAGGTATTCTAGAACATCATAGCAAATGGACCCAAACCCGTAAAAACACTTCAAAACTAGGATTTTGGTTTTTAAAAATGGAAAAAACTCAAAACAGCCGTATGTCTGTAAATAATGGAAATAGAGCGAAATAAGCCTCAATTTAGGATCATCGGAATTAAAAAATTTTTTTTTTTTTTTTTGGATTTAGGCTCTTGCAACTACTCAAATTGATATTAAATTAAAGTATTTGAAAGTCTAGGCAGTCCAAAACATCATAGCAGATATAGACTGACCCGTAATAACGCTCAAAATCTGAGATTTAGGTTTTTAAAGATCGTCAAAACTTAAAACAGCCGTATCTTCGTAAATAATGGAGATAGAGCGAAATAAGGCTTAATTTGGGATCATCAGAATAAAAAAATTTTTTTTTTTTTTTTTTTGGATTTAGGCTCTTGCAACTACACAAAAAGATATTAAATCAAAGTATTTTAAAGTCTAGGCAGTCAGGAACATCATAGCAGATATAGACTGACCCGTGAAAACGCTCAAAATCTGAGATTTTAGTTTTTGAAGATCGCCAAAACTTAAAACGGCCGTATCTCCGTTAATAATGGAGATAGAGCAAAATAAGGCTTAATTTAAGATCATTAGAATTAAAAATTTTTTTTTTCGGATTTAGGCTCTTGCAACAACACAAAAAGATATCAAATCAGAGTATTTAAAAGTCTAGGCAGTCAGGAACATCATAGCAGATATAGACTGACCCGTGAAAACGCTCAAAATCTGAGATTTTAGTTTTTGAAGATCGCCAAAACTTAAAACGGCCGTATCTCCGTTAATAATGGAGATAGAGCAAAATAAGGCTTAATTTAAGATCATTAGAATTAAAAATTTTTTTTTTCGGATTTAGGCTCTTGCAACAACACAAAAAGATATCAAATCAGAGTATTTAAAAGTCTAGGCAGTCAGGAACATCATAGCAGATATAGACTGACCCGTGAAAACGCTCAAAATCTGAGATTTTAGTTTTTGAAGATCGCCAAAACTTAAAACGGCCGTATCTCCGTTAATAATGGAGATAGAGCAAAATAAGGCTTAATTTAAGATCATTAGAATTAAAAATTTTTTTTTTCGGATTTAGGCTCTTGCAACAACACAAAAAGATATCAAATCAGAGTATTTAAAAGTCTAGGCAGTCAGGAACATCATAGCAGATATAGACTGACCCGTGAAAACGCTCAAAATCTGAGATTTTAGTTTTTGAAGATCGCCAAAACTTAAAACGGCCGTATCTCCGTTAATAATGGAGATAGAGCAAAATAAGGCTTAATTTAAGATCATTAGAATTAAAAATTTTTTTTTTTGGATTTAGGCTCTTGCAACAACACAAAAAGATATCAAATCAGAGTATTTAAAAGTCTAGGCAGTCAGGAACATCATAGCAGATATAGACTGACCCGTGAAAACGCTCAAAATCTGAGATTTTAGTTTTTGAAGATCGCCAAAACTGAAAACGGCCGTATCTCTGTTAATAATAAAGATAGAGCAAAATAAGGCTTAATTTGGGATCATTAAAATTAAAAAATTTTTTTTTTTTTTTTGGATTTAGGCTCTTGCAACAACACAAAAAGATATCAAATCAGAGTATTTAAAAGTCTAGGCAGTCAGGAACATCATAGCAGATATAGACTGACCCGTGAAAACGCTCAAAATCTGAGATTTTAGTTTTTGAAGATCGCCAAAACTGAAAACGGCCGTATCTCTGTTAATAATAAAGATAGAGCAAAATAAGGCTTAATTTGGGATCATTAAAATTAAAAAATTTTTTTTTTTTTTTTGGATTTAGGCTCTTGCAACAACACAAAAAGATATCAAATCAGAGTATTTAAAAGTCTAGGCAGTCAGGAACATCATAGCAGATATAGACTGACCCGTGAAAACGCTCAAAATCTGAGATTTTAGTTTTTGAAGATCGCCAAAACTGAAAACGGCCGTATCTCTGTTAATAATAAAGATAGAGCAAAATAAGGCTTAATTTGGGATCATTAAAATTAAAAAATTTTTTTTTTT